CGGGGATGGCAGCAAGGGAGGGGAACACGCAAACCCCTTCCTCCCCTCCGTCCCTGCTCCCTGCGCTCTTCCTCCAAGCCTCAAAGAGGCGTCAGATCTTTGCCTTGTGTCCCAACCTATTTCCAAGAAGAATCGAGTCACAAGTTTGAAAATTAAACAAAGCATGGCAATTAGGGATTAAAAACAGACCAGAGACCCTCTGAAACGAGACACGCCTGAGATAAGCTAATTACAATAATCGAGTACTTCGTTTAGCTCCAAATATCTAGACATGTGAACAGGGCCGGTATTAGGGGGACTGAGGCACTCACCTCAAATGCTGAATGTAAGGCGAGGAGCAGCCAGAATCTTGTGAAGATAATACTTTTGAGCAACGTTTCTAAAAATCTCAACCAACCAAATGAATAAAAAGCCCTAATGAACAAAATATCAAAATTTTAAATGAAATTACACAAAACACGTATATAGGAACACACATTTTTCTCTTCGCCTCAGTTCCAAAATGGCCCCACACAGAACGGCTGGATCTGGTCTTTTTCTAAGGTTTGATATGTTGTTCATCATGCATTTCTGTACAGCTTGCAGTTTGTACCTCTTTATCCCCTTCACCTTTTTCACCCATCCATCCACTCCACCTCCCTATGGTAACCAATAGTCTCTTGTCTAATTTATGTTTACATTTAAATGGCCACCTGTGACTAATGGCTACTTTAATACAGTGCAGTTACAAGTCAGTGATTTCCAAGTTTAACTTGCACTAGAAACTGCAGGACTTGTTAAAGCAGATTTGCTGAGCCAATCTCGGTTTCCGATTCAGTAGGTCTGGGATGGGGCTGAGCGTTTACTTTCAAGTTCCCAGGTGATAACGATGCTGCTGGTCTGGGGACACTTTGAGAACCACTAAGCCGGACAGTATTGATTCCAAACAGCGGTAGGGTATTGAACAAATCACTCTATGTGTTGGGCACTGGCTTTCTTATCTTGAAGCAAAATGGCAGCCTGGCCTTTGGAGACAGATAAGGATTCCTTCATTAATTAGCTATATGACCTGTGTCTCAATTTCAACTTCTTTATAATAATTAATGCAAAATGGAATAGTACTTATTAAATAGTGTAATACAAAATCAAATGTGATATGGTCTATATGCCATTTTGTACAAGTTTTTAAAGTAATTTCCTGCTTTAATAATGTAATATTAAATTACATTATATATGAACATGTAATTTGTAACACAAGAAATGAGCATTTCCACAAAATAATTCAGTCAAGATTGCCCAGTGTCAGTGATTAGTTATCTATTGCTATGTATAAGGTTACCCCAAAATGTAGTGACTTAAAACAACAAATATTTGTTATCTCACAATGTCTGTGGGTCAGAAATGTGGGCATGGCTTAGCTGGGTGTCTCTGGCTCAAGGTCTCTCATGAGGCTGCAGTAAAGTTGCCAGGACTGTGGGCTCATCTGAAGGGCTGGCAGGATCCACTTTTTTTTTTTTAATTGTAGTATGATATACATCAAATTTGCTATTTTAACTATTTATAAGCATGGGTCATTGAGTACATTCACTCTGTGCAAACATCACCACCATCCATCCCCCCAACTTTGTCATCTTCCCCGACTGAAACTCTATACCCATTAGATCCTAATCCCCCATTCTCTACCCCACCCACCAGCCACCAGCAACTATCATGCTACTGTCTCTGAACATGACTATTCTAGGTAACTCTTGTAATTGGAATGATACAGTAGATGTCTGTGAGTGGCTTATTTCACCTGGCACAATGTTCTCAAGGTTCATCCAGCCTATATAGCATGTGACAGAATTTCCTTCCTTTTTGTGGCTGAATAGTATTCCATGGTGTGTATATACCACAGTGGCTCATCCATTCATGTTGATGGACACTTGGGTCACTTCAACCATTTGACTATTGTGAATGCTGCTGCTCTGATCATAAGTGTACAACCATCCAAGTTTCTGCTTTCATTTCTTTTGGGTAAGGGGATTCACTTCCAAGGTCACTCACATGAGTGCAGAAAGGGTCAGTTCATTTCACGCTGTTGGGTTGAGGGCCTCAGTTTCTTGCCACATCACACAACCCTCTCCATAAGGCTGCTTATGACAGGACAGCCTGCCTCCCCCAGCACAAGTGATGAGAAAGACCAAGAAGGAAGCCACAGTGCTTTTATAACCTAACCTCAGAAGTGACAACCCATCACTTTTGCCATTTTTCACTACTTGATACCCAGTGCTGCAAACACTAGCATTTTGAAAATTATAACCTAGACCCTCTTTTAAATTATAGTCTCCATTCTACAGATGAGAGAACTGTGACTCAGAGGTTAAGAGGACTTCCCGAGGTAACACAGCTAGAAGAGGGCAATGTCAGAAAAACTCCATATAGTTACAGTTGAGTTTCCTGGGAGTCACGAGTGGTTTGTGATTTGTTTCAGGCTGAAAGCCTAGTGGGTTAACCACAATTTCGAGGGAACCATATTTTGTGTTCTGCTATGGCCTTACATGCATCTCCCAATTCACAGAACCACAGTCCACTGCCTAGGACAGCCCAAACCAGGGATGCAATGCCGGTAACCCTACAGCCCTGAGACACTGACTTACCTGCCTCCCTTGCCTCCACTGATAAAACCAGAGAAAGACATCCGACTTAAGCAAGGCCGATATGTTTGCTTCTCTTAGGTACTTGGAGTTGGGGCGTTAAAAAGCAAAGGGACCCAGAGGGGGCCACTATGCAGCCATGCAGAGATGGGTAGGTGTCAGTGGCATAGCAAGTGAGTTAGGTGGGAATTAAAGAAGGTATCTTCAGGGACAGCATGGTGGACTGGGTGGGCGCCCCGACTGTGGAAGGAAGCTGCCTGTTTCACCATGGCTCCCACGTACTGGCTGTGGCATTTCAGGCAAGTTGCTCAACCTGTAGGTGACGCAGCTTTTTCATTTGTAAAATGGGAAAACAAACAGTACTTAAGTCACTGTTGTAAGGAAATGAGTTACCACACACCAAGGCTGCGGCCTGGGCACCCAGCACTCACTAGGAGCCACCAGCTGGCATTGCTCCAGAGGCAAGAAGGTGCCCTTGGCCTGGGAGACCCACCGAGGGAGCAGCTCCCTGTGGCTTCTCAGGCCCCAGCAGTTCCGCCAGGACTTGGAGCACTTTATTCAACCACCAAAGGGTTTCCACGCAGACGTAAAAGGATTTCCCATGGCATCTTGCCAAATTAAATTTTGCCTCATGCTTAGGGTCTTGAAATTTAAAAATCATACACATTTATTTGGAAGCTTTATTCTTTTTATTGAAAATTTCTGGTAATGGAAAGACCATGGCAGCTGATCCTCATTTAAACTTAGGTGATAACAGTGCGCTGAAGCTCAGCGGCACGTGAATCACCCAGGGGCCTTAACGCGAACTGATGCCTGCGTCCCACCACCCAGAGGTTCCAACCTAACTGGCTTGGGGTAGTCCGGGCATCAGCAGCTTTTTGGACACCCCAGGCAATTCCCACATGTAGCCAGGTGGAGACCCCCTGCGGGAGCTCATGATGTGGGGCTGGCAGAATGGGAAGCACCTGAGCAACGCAGCGGGCGGCTCCCATCCCAGACCTGCTCACGTCACCCTCTCGGCCCGAGCCCAGCGTGTGTCCGCTGACTCCCTCTTCCAGGTTGTCACCCGTCCTGACTCCCTCCTCAGAAATCACAGAGGGGAGAGACGCTGCAGGGGCCGCAGCGCTCTGTGCTGTGGCTTGTGCCTAAACGTGGAGACCTATACTAAACATGGTTACTCTATCACAAAAAGAAATTCCCTTTCTGATTGCAAAAGAGCATAGTCTTTTTCTTCAATTATTAAGTGGAAATAGTCTTCCTATATAGAGTTGTGACAAAATAAGGAAACGTGTTGGATGACTATTCCTTACATAACTTCTCAGGTTTTAATTTTGTCAAGCCATTGGAGGCCAAATATATACTTTAGCAGCATATTTTATATGGGTAAACATTAACAGCCAGTTAGATAATTCATTTATGATTTATCCTAAAAATAAAAAATGCTTTAATTTTCCTGAGTCCTTGGCAAACAAAAAAAGAACTTTGTATGGTTTTAAAATGTTTAAAGTATTCCCGTTTTCCTTTCCCTGGGTACCCTCACAGTTTAGAACGGTGTGTGTTGCACTTTCCATTTTTACATACATCGGTGAACAAAACAACACTGGTGCCAATTTTCAATGTCCACTCAAATATGGCAATTGAAAATAAAACACCTATCAACCATCTACAAAGTTGCTCAAAGTGAGTTTCTTGACAGTGTTATAAATGCAATATCAATTTGCTTCTCCGTCCATACAAAAGTATGAAGGTCTAGTCCATTAATGATACTGAATGAGGAGTGTCTTAACAGTGATAAAATTCTTAGAACGTCTAAAAAATACATAGGATCCCATTTTCACATCATAATTCTGATGTATTTTCATGCCTTCTATTTTGTCTGCAAAATTGTATAGGGTACAGTGCACCAACGTTATAAAGCCAAGGCACAGAATACAGTTACAATAAGTATATGCAAACCGTAGCACTTTGTGCCAATTATGGAAACATTTAGAGAGGAGATCATAAAGTTTTGTGAAAAACTCTCACATTCTAGTTTGATTAATGAACTGTTAATTGCACAATAGACTATTAACCACCATACCATTATTAAATATATGGCTATCACTGCACAGGCTGTGGATAATTGAAACATTTTCAATATTAAAACCTGGTGTAACTAGGTGGTCAGTGTAGACGTTGTGCCTTGCGTTATGTAGATAATTGTCTTGAGTTTCCATTTGAAATTATAATCTATATGGCAGTCATCAATTTTAAAACTATTTTCATTATATAAATGATGGGGTTTTTCCCAAATGTTAAATCCCTTCCCCCTACAAAAGACAGATTACAAGAAGATAAACAAACAAGAAATGTACAGATAACAATAACAATAATAAAATCCAAATATGGACTCAAAGGTTGAATTTTAATCTAGCCGGACATTCTCTTAATTTAGGGTAAGGAGCAACACATTCCTGTGACAATTTATTATTTTCTTAATTTAAAAAATCACCATGACATTATTTCGGAATAGTAAAGTCTTGACTAGAGCGTCAAGCATTGAAGGAAAATTGTTAAGTCTTTTCATTCATAAAATGAAGGGGACAGAAGCCTTTCAAAATCCAGGCTGGTCGGGGGTGGGGCGGGGCAGGGGGGTGATTCCATTGAATTTAGAGAAGTGGAATAAAGTGATAAAAACCGTATTTAATACTTTTAAAGAAAGAGTGTTTTCAAGACTCAAGGCAAACATCAAGACCCATGAAAACACATTTCCTGGCACATGCAGCCATGGCGAGAGCCATCTGAATGCTGCGGCGGCCTCGCCACGGAGGCATCGGGCTCCCAGTCCCACCGGCAAAACCACCTCCGAGGTCCTCGTCGCCCCCTTCACAGGGGAGCTTCCGGCTTCTGCACCTGCTGGATCTGCTTCTGTAGCTGGTCCTTGTCCAGCTTCATCCTGGCTTCAAGAACTTGCCTGAGGGATCCTATGCTTTCATAGATGGCTGTAAACCCTTGAACAAGAGGTAAATTTCACACAAGTTAATATTAAAAAATAATGCTGTGTCAAAGTCTACAGCATAGAGTAATAGTTGATTTGGACAGAACTTATCAGTAGATACTAAAGGTACTGAAGTAATAGTTTGATGGGAAACAGGGTAGTTGCATAGTTTCACAGTATCTCCCTACAGACTTTTTTTGTACAAAGGAGGAAAGGAATTATTACAACAGAGACTCTGACAGAAGCACTTTAACCAAGTGACAGAACTAACATTCAGCACCAGGAGACACGGACATCATGTGCCCGATAAGGCACCTGGGAAACACCAACACTTCTGCGCAGTCCTGTCCAACATGCACCACCTGAATCTGATCAAGAGGAAGGAAGCACAGACTACCCACAAAATGCTAGCCTGTGTTCTTTAATGGTGTCAGTATCACCGAGGAACTGATGCAGATTAAGAGGCTAAATTAAATAATGTTAACAAATATGATCTCTGATTCTGGATTAGAACCTAAAGCAAGGAAGGTTTGCTATAGAGGAAACAATGGCAAAACTGAAAAGTGGACATTGAAAAATATTTCACTGATACTACACCATACTGTAGTTGTTGGAGGATGTCCTTGATCTTTGGGTATATAGAGTGAAACTTTAAAAAAGGGGAAAAAGGCATCATGAGTTCTGCAACCTACTCCTAAATGATTTAGAAAAAAAAACATATTCACACCCACACACCCACACACAAAAGGATTAAACGAATTTCCACAATGTTAATAATTGCTTAATCGAGATGGAAGATATATGAAGTTTGGGGACTATTCTTAAAGTTTTCCTAAATATGTAATTATTCCCAAATAAAAGGCTAAAAAAAAGAAATAATTCCCCATCAAAACAACATTTCATATTATTCTGTATCCCTATTGGTTTCTAAAATAAATGTTTAAAAGGTCTTCATTAGTAAATTCAGAATTTTCTCTCACGAAATTTTCTTTGTATGATAATTCATGAAAAAATTATTAAAATATAATGATCTTATTGAATGGGAAGATAAAACATATTATTAAATAAAAGAGTATATTACAAACCATCATGTATAGCATGAACTTTCATTTGAAAAAGCACATATATATCCTATATGTATAGAAAGATAGAAATAAAAGTGACCACTGGGTGAGAAACTTTCTGGGAATTTTTAGAAAATATTTTATGCCTTATGATTTTCCATTAAGAAGTGTATTGTTTTTGTAATAAAAACTATAGTTGACCCTTAAACAGCATAGGTTTGAGCTGCACAAGTCTACTTATATGCAGATTTTCTTAAATAAAATACATTAAAATTTTTTTGAAGATTTGCAACAATTTGAAAAAATATTTTCTTTTTTCTAGTTTATTGTAAAAATATGGTAGGTAATACACATATGATACAACATATGTATTAACTGTTTATGTTATCGGTAAGGCTTCCAGGCTATTCATGCATGTTCAACTGCATCAGGGGGTTGGTGCCCTTGATCCCCAAGTTGTTCAAAGGTCAACTATATTTGGCATTTTAAAAGGGCTCATATACATTTCTTAGTAGGTACTAAATATTAACAATATCAATGGTATGTTGAATAGACAATAGGAAATCCACTCAGGAAGTGATGCAAAGTTAAATATCAATGAAATATTAAAATACCATATTCTAACAGCCCACAGACAGAGAAAGAAAATTCATTTTTATCTTCACAAGTTCTTCAATTCATAAATTTAATCGTGGCTTCCAGTTAAATAAAATAATAAACTTTTGGTAGTAACAACAAAACTCTTCTTGGCATAAATATTTTTTTTCCATATGGCCAAAGTAGAACAATTCCACAAAAGAAAATGATGGAACCACAGAATTGGAAAAAGCTGGGAGAGAATTTCATCTCCAGTCTCACACTATGTAAGACTGTCTTCTCTTCCCTGACCATAGTCAACCAGTCTCTGCTTGAATACTTTCAGTAACAAAAGTTCTCAAGCTCAGAAAGCCACCAGTGTCTTTTTAGGACCCATTAATTAAAGATACTTCTGCCTTATATTAAGTCGAAAATATTCTTTGGGTAACGTCCACTTATTGGTCCCAGTTCTGTATTCCTGAGCTCAGAGTATAAACCTAATCTGTCCTTCATATGGTAGCACGTCAGAACTGGAAATCGGCTTTAGCTATTTCTTCTGACCAAATGTGAATTCATGAGCCCTGTGGACTTCTGATAGAGGAAAATCATTCATTACCATGGTGGAATCCTGCCAGCAGCCTAAATAAGCCTGCATAAGCCCCTCAAAGATATATGTTTATTTCTGAGACATAATGACCTTGGCTACAAACAGGAAAGAATCCACAGATGGGACTAAAGAAAATGCATTATCAGTTGCAAGCTAAGCAATTCTAGTTTTGTTTGCCTGTGCCTCATGGTGGCTTTTCATGTCCTAGGAACTGAAACATTTAGCTTCATACAGCACAGCTACTTAGAAAACCACCTAAGGACATGTCACTGTTACTACCATTAGCCGGGTTCATAGGTAGTTGTAGGGCGGTACTAATTAATTGGGCTTTGGGTCAAATAGAATATAAACCAAGAGAGCTGTTTCCTTTTGGCCTACCAGCATCAACTTCTGCTTTCATTTCCTTCATGTCCTCGTTCATCTGTGATTCCAGCTTGGTGATTCGCCCGTGCACCTTCTCCTCTTCTTGTTTTGCTCTCTGCACTTCCATAGTCTTCTTTTGACTCTCTTCTATTTTGTCAAGTCTGGCTGACATCTGGCTGAGTTTCTTTTCCACATCCCTTTCACTGGCTCCCTGAGATCCATGATAAGAAGTGCACCTGATTACTCCGAAAACAAAGCCTGCATTGCATTTGCATCGGTCATATCATTTAACAACAATCTGCAGAGAACAGAATCACAAAGGTTGCTTGTTGCTCACTCAAATATCCATTCTCCCTTTCTTCCTTAACAGACCCTGATTTTCAGCTGGTATCAGGTTCATCCAGACTAAAGACTACCTTTTCTACTGTCTGCTGAGTGTGGTGTGGCTGTATGATTAAGTTCCGGCCAATGAGATGTAAGTACAAGTCTATGTGGCAGGTTCTAAGAAAGGTTAAAAGGCAGTTGAGGCATATACTCACTGCCTTCCTTCCTTCTTCCTCTGTTCCTGGAATTCATTCATAATGGCTGGAAGTCTAGCAGCCATCTTAAACTATGAGGACAAGGGTCACTCTCTAGGACTGGCAGAGTTAAGGCAGAAGGATCCTGGGTTGCTGAGGTTAGACAAGCTAGCACATCAGCCCTGCATTCCCTACACCCAGACATACGTGAAAGAGAAACAAGATTCTATCTTAAGCTACCATTATCCTGAGATGACTGTTAGTGTTCAAACCAATCCACATGCAAAAGTAAACAGGGATCTAAAGACCCAGAAGCCTACAAATGTAGTGGTATGAATCTAAGTAAATCAATCAGTAGATGTGATAATATAGAACACTTAAAGAAATATTTGGAATATTAAAAATTTCCTTTCCCTTCCACCATGCTTGGTTTACGGGTCTATCTGTCTGCAGGCAGCTCTGGGGGCCAGGACTATAAACACCAAGCTGTTAGTAGTCTGTGGAATAACAAAGCTCCCTTGATGTTTTTTAATGCAGAATCTGCTACTCTACTGTTCAGCAGTAACAGAGAGGCAAACTGCACCAATCACTTCTGCTCCATCAAAGTGCAACAGGAGAAAGCAGTGCAAAAAAAAAAAAAAACTGAAGAGAGAGTAAAACGGCCAGACTAAAAAACCAAACCGAAAAATCTGCTTGCCAAGTACTGGTTTCAGAGCCTGATTGTGAATTATTATATATGCAGAGCTTTCCTGATACAGGTTTTAAGCAGTTCTGCAAACCTCAGTTCTATGGGAGAGTGGGGTAAAAGGAGAAGGAAGATGGAAAAGGGAATGGTGGATTTTGTTGGCATTTGCACCACGAGTCCTCATACTGTGGCTACAGTATGATGGACGGACCTGGAGGGAGAAATTTAGCCAACACTGTTAACTAGATCATGAAATTAAAACAAACTAGGGTGAAGTTTGTAGTTGTTAGTTTTATTTAGAAATGCAGATGGACAATTTGGTTCATTTTTAAGGTCTTGATTTAAATTCAACACAGCTGGATGTATTATAATTTTCTACTTAGCCTTTGCTAACCAAAACAAGTCCAAGTGCTGCATCTCTTTATAATGAATACAAAGAATCAATATAACCATGGAAATGGATTCTAAGGCAAGAAACAATTGAACAGCTTAATGTGGTACTAAATAAATCAGTAATTAGTTACTAGGTATTATTCATCCATATTGCAGGTCCCCACTGAATAACTTTACTGTATTATTGGTAAACATCAATACCTACACTGTTTTCTTTAACAATCAAGGAAAGCTGATCAATTTTCTGTAAAAGTTCTTTTTCTATCCGTTCTTGTTCCTGTTGCAACCAATTCCGTGCAGATAAAATCTCATTACTGAGTTCCTCAACTGTACCTTTAAATCTAAAATAAGAAAAGTAGTAAGTTAGACACGAAACAATTTTTAAAAGACATCAAACAATCTCAGTCTCCAACTACCAAATTTGTCATAAACATGTCAGCATTAAACTCAGCTCACTTGGAATTACATGTTTTATCTTTTCTTAGAATTGCAGTTAGCACTAGGTCAGGAAGGTGGGGTGGAGGATACAGCAGAAAAGCACCTGATACTATTTCCTACGCATGAAGAGCTGTGTGGGGGTGTTGTGTCACACAGTGACACAGAGCCATGCCATTTGCATATCTTTACAGTTCAGAGGGTCCAAAGCACTCCCAGCTCTTCAGAGGACACGGTGTCTTGACTCCCGTCCATGCTGCCCTCTTTCCCTGGGCCCTTCCTCCTTCTCCCTTGTATATCCTAGAGCTGCAGCCTGGATCCCATTCCCTCTAATGTTCTCCATACTGCTCTTGCCCCACATAGATATTTCCTTATTTAAGTCAAAAAGAAAACTGAAAGAAAAAAAACCCCACCATTCCTGTAGTCCTCTCCCTTCTAAATACCTTCAAATAATACTCCATACTTACTGCCTCTCAATTACTTTTTTATTATAAAATGTAATTAAAGTATAAAAGGATATATGCAAGTTAAGAGTAATAATAAAATGAACACCACTAGTAAAATCTCCTAATAATCTGCAATATCTGTTCTCCTCTCTTCCTCCCTATTAAGAAACCCTCAAATGTGATCTGATTACATGACTGTCTAGCCAGAGACTACGTCTCCCAGCCTCCCTTGCAGCTAGGTGTGGTCATAGTACTAAGTTGGCCAATGTAGAAGTAATAAGTACAACTTTCTGGGCATATCATTCAAAACAAAGCTTCTCAGCCCTACCTGGGCAGGAAGCCAAACCAGAAGTCCCACACAATGGTGGAGCTCAGCCCACAGCCCTGTCTGACCAGGGCAAGTGACCACAGAGCATAGAAGCTTTACTGAATTTATTCATTCCAACAGTTTTTGGTGGAGCCTTTTAGAGTTTTGCTATATAACATTATGTCATCTGCAAATATCCACAGCCAGGTGGGGTTACTGGCTGGGCTGCATGATCCAGTGGAACCACTAAGGGGGCTCTGCAATTACCTGTGGTAGGTGGGGTATCAGGCTGTGTTCCCTGGCACAGTGATGCTACTGGCTGGACTCCATGACTGGACAGGGCTACAGGCTGAGCTCCACAATTGCACCTGACTGCAAGGCAACCCAGGCTGTATTCCCATGCCAGCTGCTGCCACTGGCTGGACTCCAAGTTCAGGCAGGGCTGCAGGCTGGGCCTCATGATCAAATGGGGCTTCAGGTTACGCTCCATAATTATACAGGCTGCTGGTTGTGCTACACCATCACCAGCTAGGCTTCCTGGTCAGATAGGACAACCAGCTATACCTTGCAATTGAGTGGGACTGGACACTGTGCTCTGTGATCAAGCAGAGTCACCGTCTGGCTCTGTTTTGGAGGGGTTGTTAGCTGGGTTCACTGCTTGGTCATAGGCTGTGTTGAATGAGGTTGGCCATAGTCTGCGCTCCACTGCCTGGCAGGGCTGTAGGCTGGGCTCCAAGGCTTCCTGGGGTCACTGTTCAGGCTCCCTAGTCGGGCAGGGTCTGAGGATACAGCTTTTATTTTTGGTTATTACATTTTCTAAAAGTTCTATTTAGTTTTCAATTCCGATTGGTCTTTTTTGAGGATTTCTTATTCCTTAGTCTTACTTTCAAAATGTGTATGTGTGTCTATTCACACATACATATACCTACATGTATACATATTTTATCCAATAATTCCCATATGTGCAGTATTTAGAAGTCTGATTCTGCTTTTTGTTTTTTTTTTTCTGACTCTATCACATTGTAGCTTTTTTCTTGTGTTGTTTTACCATTTTTGATTGTACATTCATGTTCCTTAGAACTTTATTTGTTTGTGGGAAGACTTGAAGGCTGAGTATTTGCATTTGCTTCTGCCAGGCACCTCAGGCCACTATCAAAACAACACCATTCTAAGATGAATTATCCACTATAGTTCTCTTTGAGCTGCTTGGGTGATGTGAATGTCAGCTCTGAATCCATATAAAGGCTGTACTGTGGTCTTGACTTTTCAAGGAAGATCTTCTATCCCTCAACTCTTTGATCCCTCTGCTCAGAGCCAAGATTTAGAGAGGTATGCTTCCTCACAATCTCTTAGTGGAATGTTTTTTTTCCTAGTTCATCCAACCAGGGTTTCACTTTTCAGGTCTCCAGTCTGACCTACCTCATATTGGCCCCAGGATCTGTCTCCTTTCCCCTATGAACAGCCTTAAGTCTAGACTTCTAGACTATAAATCATAGGAAGAAAAATAAAGATGTTCATGTCTGCTGACTAGTAATATCGCCTAAGGAAATAATTCACAGAGAAAAAAAATAGTAAGGGGTTTATTTTCTTCCTCTGTGATGGAAGGAAGAGGTTTGGAGAGATCTTTCTGTACTTGGCAAGCCAGTAGGATCTATGAGAAATGGTGATATAACCCAATAATTATATAAATACAGATAATTAGAGGAAAGGAAACATGATTTTTCATAAGAAAATTCCTGTTAAATTGGCAACAACCCTGAAATGGCATAAAGCATGGAGGCAATGAGATGTAAGAAAGAGGAGAATAATTAACTTTTCACAAGCCTCTAACAAAGTTCCATACTGAAATTATCTTTAAAAAATATACTGTCATATATTTATCACACACACACACACACACACACACACACACGTATACATATATAGTCACACTGGCTTGGCTTTGGCAGGAAAATGCCAACCAAGATGCATGATAGGAAAAGGTATGGTTTGGTGATTGAGCAGAAGAGCAGCAGAATAGCATCACTGCAGGCAAGCTTAACGTGTCACTATAACAAATGGGCAAGTATAATGCTGTATAATGGACACAAAGCCCTAGTGCAGTCCCGCCCTACCTAATCTACTGCAAAATACCCGCTAATTGATATCCCCATCTCAGCTTTGGACCCTTAGGATCCATCTTCCAACTGCAACCATGGCCATTTACAAAATAATCTATATACCAAATTATATAACCGTATCTGCTTAAAATACGTGGCTCCTTGATGCTGAAGGAGGTCCAAAGGCCCTGCTAGCTTGGCCTGCCTCCTCTCCAGCCCTCCTTCCCACCTGCACCCTGTTCCAGCCACCTTTGCCACCTTCCCATCTCTTGCATGCCCCATTGCTCCCACAACAGGCTCTGCCCTCCCATATGTTCAGACCTCACTCTTTACCTAGTGAATTCCATCCCTCCCCTTCAGGTCTTCCTTCCAACATCACCTCCCCTGGAAGGCCCCACAACCTGGCCTGCTCACAGCACCATTATATTATTTTCCTGTGGCTGCTGTAACAAATGACCATAGAATTCAGGGGCTTAAAACCACACATTTATTCTCTTATGGTTCTGGAGGCCAGAAGTCTAAAACCAGTTTCACTGGACTGAAATGTAGGCATGAGCAGGGTAGTTGTTTCTGGAGGAGCTGAGGGGAGAATCATTTCCTTGCTCGTTTCAGCTCCTAGTGACCACCTGTGTTCTGTGGCATGGGGCCCTCCTCCACCCTAAAGTACATCACTCCAATCTCCACTTCCGTCATCACAGGGCCTTCCTCTTGACTCCAACCCTCCTGTCTCCTTCTTACAGAGACTCTAATGATTACATCAGACTTACCTGATGTCCCAGGATAACCAACCCATCCTAAAATCCTTAACATAACCTCATCTGGAAAGGTCCTTTTTGCCACATAAGGTAAAATATTCACAGGGATTAGGATGTGGCGATATTTGGGGGGCCATTATTCAGCCTACTGCAACTATGTACCTTTCCTTCAAAGTATTTTTCACCATTAGTAATAACATAGCATATGCCTATTAAAGTCACTATTCAATTAAAGCTCAACTCCCTCTACCATAAGCTCCACAAGGATGGGAACAGAGCCTGTTTCTTTTTCATTATTGGCTCCTCAGCAGCTAGGCCACTGCTCAATACATATTTATTGAACGAATAGACTCTTAACTAGAAACAATAATTAGGAATGTAAAGTGGCAACATGCCACAAGAAAACTCTTCCTTTTAAGTTCCATTATTGTTTTCACCCAATTTTGGGCAATAAATAAAAATGAAGAGGAAAAAAAACTGTAGTGTTGAATAAGCTTATAAAGAACTTCAACCAAAAAACCATGCTCATACATTGACCACTTACTTCGTATCCAGAAGCTGAAGCTGGTGGTTACTATCTCTGTGAGACATCTTCAGTTTGGTGCTTTGCTCTGATATTGACAAGTCCACTCTGTTCAAAAGCTGAGAAATCTGCCAAAGAAATTTTGCGTGTAAACAGCACATCTAATCTTTTCAGAGGAAATTTCAGATAACATTTAGTACACTATATTCTAGATGATCGCAGTAAGATTCAGTCTAATTTAATAAATTCATTCAGGAGTTCACGTCATCCTTCCACTTGCATTTTCCATCAGGCACACCCATCAAAACTCAAGACTGGGAGCAGTGCCAAAATACTCACTACGTACAGAGCGTTGCGCTTTCCCCTCCTCTGATGAGCAAGCCTAGTTCCTGTGCAGGACCATGTCCACATACTGACACAAATATACTCATTTTTACCTTGGAATTTCTACTCTTAATGTGGCTACTAGTCACAGGCAATGGAATTCTTATTGGCCCATTAAGGTCTGGATTTACCTCTATATCAGTTAAGTTACCAGAAAATATAATTTGTAAACTATATCCTTCCTATTGCTTTCTCCCACTACCTACCCATTTCCCTTGTCTTTTTGCTAAAGTTCAAAATGTACAACTAATCCTGTATAAAATGTCTTCATTTTCTGCAAAAAATATGATGCTCAATGTTTCTGATTTAAAGATTTGTGGAACAAATATTTATCAGATCCGGAACAAAGAAATGTATGTCTCTTTTTATAGATTGCCGTATGTATTTTACTTGGCTTAGCTATCAGGAAACGTAATATTTCCTTAGCTTCTATTTTCTGATGTGATAATTCTGTCTTTATGCATTCTTTAAAAAAAATTATTGGACTTTTCATTTTATTCTTTTCTCATGGCTTTATAGTATCTGTATTCTTCACATAAATAGATTTAGATCCTTACTGAATGTAATTAGGACACAAATATTTTTAATCCAATAAATTGACCAGGTGCCCCATTTTCCTGGAATAGTTTCTCTTTAAGTGGAGACTAGCAAGTAGGGCAGATACTGCAGGAAAAGTCCTAGAAGACAGGCCCCATATGGCAAAGGAAACTTTTAACTGACCAAAATACAAACTGTGAAGTACCAATGGTTTTGCTTTGTGAAATTAATCTGTGAATTTCAAGGTGGAATACTCTACGATTCATTAGCCAGCCTACCCTAAGCTTTGTCTTAATTTTTTCCCGCATACAGACTATGGGATGAGGTAGCCTATGAGCTCAATAATGATTTCCTGAGCCAAAAGTTGGGATGAGTCGCATGTAAAACAGTGCTTGATCACTGACCTGCGCAAGGTATAGCTTTGGGATTGTAATTTAGAATTTCTGGAATATATTAATTGTTTTAAGAATGAGGGGAGAGAATCTTTAAAATTAAAGCTATCTCAAAAAATCTTGGTGGTCTGGTTGCCATCACACAGGGCCACTCCAGTGAAACAGAAAGAAGTAAGGAAAAGAGATGCTTATGCTGGATGCCCGGCTAGTTTCTACTGTACGAAATAGCACCATGTTCTTATTAACAAGGAACAAACTACCCACTTTTAAAAGGCTGCCTGAAAGAGGTCATACCTGTCCCTCTGCATCTTTGATTTTTGTTTCCAAGATAAGTTTCGCAGCTTGCTGTTCTTTGTTCAAGTGCTGGAGACCCTCGTAGGTCGTCTTGTGCTCTGCAGAGAGTCTGGCTATGCTGGCGTCGCATCTGTCCAGGCAAACAACAAAGCTGATTTTTATTAAGGTTTAAAAACAAGTGCTAAAGCTTCTTTACATACTGTAAAATGCATGACCCCACTCAAAGACAGTGCACTGTGACTCATTCTTTTACACAGAGGTTTCAGTGAGCTCAAAGAGTTGGCCTCATTATGGTTTTAAGTTAAACCACAAGGATGTCACTTAGTAAGACAAGAGGTGTAGCCATCCAAGTAGTGAAGGCTTTACAATGATCGTGAGTACAAAAATGTATATGCAGTGAGAACCCAAATACAAAAAGCTTATATAGTGTGCCAGATGTAGTCTGACGCTCTTTGGCGCCACTTCTGCCCTTTCAAGGTCAGGGCCTCTTTGGATCTTAGAAGCAACTTTTATCACATTTGTGTACTATTGCTAAGTACTACTCCGAAGCTTGACTAAAGCGCCTATAAGACTGTATACTTTGAGTGGTGTCCAGAGAAAGAGAAGGCTCTGCAGCTGACCCAAGCTGCAGGGAAAGCTGTTCTGCCCCTTTGGCCTTAAAACGTGGCAGTGCCAATGGTGCTCAAAGTATCTGTGTCACGGTGTTTTGAAAACTAGACAGCTACACACAAAAGAATGAAACTGGATCACTGTCTTACACTATACATAAAAATAAACTCAAAATGTATTGAAGACCTAAATAAAAGACACAAAGCCATAAAACTCCTAGAAGAAAACAAGGCAGGAAACTCTTGTACATTGGCATTAGTAATTTTTTTCTGATTCTGTCTCCCTAGGCAAGGGGAATAAAAGAAAAAGTAAACAAGTGGGACTACATCAAACTAAAAAGATTCTGAACAGCAAAGGGAACCATTAAAAAGAAAAGAAAAGGCAACCTACTGACTGGGAAAAGATATTTGCGAATGATCTATCCAATAATGGGCTAATATCCAAAATCTACAAAGAACTCATACAACTCAACACACACACACACACACACAAAAAAAAAAAACAGTGGGCAGAAAACCTGGGTAGACATTTTTCCAAAGAAGACATACAGATGGCCAATAGACACATAAGGGGATATGAATATCACTGATCATCAGGGAAATGCAAATCAAAACCACAATGAACTATCACCTCACACCAGTCAGAAAGGCCAGTATCAAAACAACAAGAACTCGTAAGTGTTATCAAGGATGTGGAGGAAAGGGAACTCTTGTACACTGCCAGTGGGAATGTAAATTGGTGCAGCCATTATGAAAAGCAGTATAGAGGTTTCCAAAGAAACTAAAAATACAAATACCATACAACCTACAAATTCCACCTCTGGGCATTTATCCCAAAAAAACAAAATTACTAATGCAAAAAGATACATGCACTCTACTTATGTTTATTGCAGCATTATTTACAATAGCCAAGATATGGAAGTAATCTAAGAGTCCATCAATAGATGAATGGGTAAAGAAGATATGGTACGTGGGAAAAAGAGATGGCAGAGTAGGAAAGCAAGGTGGAAACTTCCTCCCACAAACACATACCAGGGAAGCAACTATGACAAATACAAATAACCCTGAAAATGACCTACAGACTGCAGAACAGACCACCTACACCTGGTGAAGAAGAGAAGACCACACAGAGAAGGATAAAGTGGCAGGGCCACAATCAGTCAGGACCCCAGCCCTTGCCAGCCCACAAACAGGAGGAAGATAACAGAGTGGGGAGAGGATAAGCACTCAGGAGCACTGCACACATGGCCCTGGAGATCTGCTCTGGGAACACGAGTCCACAGTGCACTGGGCTTTGGTGATTAATGGGGCCGGACCTCAGGGGCTCAGGGGGAGGTGGAGCACTCTGGAACTCTGGGACTCCTACCACTTGTGGAAGACAGACACACTCTGGTAGTCCCACTAAGACCCAAAACAGAGGCAGCAATTGGGAAGATTTACCAAAAACAGGTGGGGGTGCCAGAGGGGCAAGAGTTGGACAGATCTATCGCCACAGGAGAGAGGGCTGGTGGACACTTGCCCAGGTCTCCCTCAGCCCAACAGGTCAGGCACTCATGGGAGCCCCGGGCACTCCATCACCCTCACTGCCTCCTCAGTCCCAGGGCACTTGCCTGAGAACCTGCCTGCCTGGCCATCTCAGCCCAGCAGCAACAGACTTTGCTGCCTCGCAGACAGAGGGAGTTTTCCTAGCTTTCACGGCCTCATCTCAGCCCAACTGGAGAGGCACCTGTGGGAGCCAGCTCCAGGCAATCCTTTCTCCTCAGGGAGGCCTCATCTGCCTGTGCATCCAGCCTCCGGTCATCTGCCCCACCCACCCTGTTAGCCCAGCAGCACTGCCATCACTGCTGGACAGGCAGAGGGCACCCTACCCACAACAATCCCAGCAGAAACACCACTGCTCAGCTCACAAAGGGCCAGCTGTGGCAAACTGCCATCTTTGGCAGACTGAGATATCTGACAGCTGCCAGTAGACAGACAGAAACACCGCTCCATCCATAGCCCATCAACAGCAACTGGGGCTCCACCACAAAGGAGAGCAAGGCACTGGTGACACCACAGGATGCCTTCTTCATAAAGCCTTTACAGAAATTAATGCTCTCTATAAGAAACCAGGAATTATAGCAGGTCTATCTAAAACAAAGAAGAAAGACAAAAACCCTGACAAAATGGGGAGGGAGAGGAACACGTTCCAAACCAAAGTACAGGATAACACACCAGAAAAAGGGCTAATTGAAATGGAGATGACCAGTCTCCTTGATAAAGATTTCAAAGTAACACTCATAAATATGCTCACTGATAGGCAGAAAAGTATTGAAGAACTCAGGCAGGACTTCAACAAAGAGCTAGGAGAGCTGAAAAAAAGCCACTCAGGCTGAAAAATACAGTATCTGAAATAAAATATATAATGGAGGCAATGAATAATAGATTGCTGCAAGTAGAAGAGATAATCAATGAGCTGGAAATTAAAGAACAGGAAAACAACAAAACTGAGGAATAGAAAGAAAAAAAGAATCTATAAAAACCAAAGGATGCTAAGAGAGCTTATGTGACAACTACACACAAAACAATATTTGCATAATAGGTGTACCAGAAGGAGAAGAGACAAAGGGGTAGAAAGTCTCTCTCTTTGAAGAAATAATTGCTGAAAACTTCCCCAATCTGGAGTAGGAAATAAACATCTAGGTCCCAAAACACAGAGAGCCCCTAACAAAAGGAACCCCAGGAAAACAACCAAGATATATAATAACTACAATGACAAAGATTAGCAATAAGGAGAGTGTTCTGAAAGCAGCCAGAGAGAGAAAAGATTACTTAAAAGGGAAACCCCATCAGGCTATCAGCAGACTTCTTAGCAGAAACTTTAGAAGCCAGAAGGTAGTGGCATGAAATATTTAATATATTAAAACAGAAGGATCTTCAACCAAAAAATCCTCTACCCAGCAAGATTACCATTCAAATCTGAAGCAGAGATTAAACAGTTCCTAGATAAACAAAGGCTGAAGGAATTTAAAACAACAGAACCAGCATTACAGGACATGTTAAAGAGACTTCTGTACATGCAAATGTTCCTAAGCCTAAATAGTTTTCACCAGTGAAAATAAACCCACAGTAAAGGTGGCAGACCAATTACTTACCAAGCTAGTACGAAATTAAAACAAAGCAAGTAGTAAAATGAACTAACTCAAAATCAGTCAAGGGATACACAAAAAATGCAGTTATGACATCTAATATATAAAGTGTGGAGGAAGAAGAAGAAGAAAAAGAAGTACTTTTAGATTGTGTTTGAAATAGAGCAATTATCAAGCGAATATAGTGTTATATAGTTAGGAGGCTATCCTTGAACCTTTTGGTAACCACAAACCTAAAACCTATAATAGGCACACAAAAAATTTAAAAAGTGAACTCCAATGACAACACTAAAGAAAACCATCAAATAACAAGGGAAGAGTATAAGAGAAGAAAGGAACAGAGAGGAACTACAATAACAGCCATAAAAAAATTAATAAAATGGCAATAAGTACAGACCTATCAATAATTACCTTAAATGTAAATGGACTGAATGCACCAATCAAAAGACACAAGAATTACAGAATGGATAAAGCAACAGGACCCATCTATACACTGCCCACAAGAGACTCATTTCAGACCCAAAGACATACACAGACTGAAAGTGAAAGGATGGAAAAACATATTTCATGCAAACAATAGGGAGAAAAAAAATAGGAGTGGCAGTACTTGTATCAGACAATATAGACTTCAAAACAAAGAAAGTAACAAGAGACAGAGAAGGACATTACAAAATGATAAAGGGATCAGTCCAACAAGAGGATATAACCATTATAATATCTACACATCCAAAATAGGAGCACTTAAGTATGTAAAATAAATATTAACAGAACTAAAGGGAAAAATAGACTACAACTCAATCATACTGGGGGACTTAAACAAACTACTTACATCAATGGAGAGATCATTCAGACAGAAAATAAATAAGGAAACAGAGGCACTGAACAACACATTAGATCAGATGGACTTAACAGATATAACAGAACATTCCACCCAAAAAGCAGCAGGATATGCATTTTTCCCAAGTGTACGTGGAACATTCTTCAGAATAGACCACATACTAGGCCACAAAATGAGCCTCTATAAATTCAAAAAGATTGAAATTGTATCAAGCAACTTCTCAGATCACAATGGTAGAAAACTAGAAATAAATTAAACAAAGAAAGCAAAACAGCCTACAAACACATAAAGGTTAAATTACATGCTTCTAAATAATGAATGGATCAATAAACAAATTAAAACAGAAATCAAGCAAAACATGGAGACAAATTTAAAAAAAAATACAACAGTCCAAAATTCATAGGATGCCATAAAAGCACTTCTAAGAGGGAAGTACACAGCAATACAGGTCTACCTCAAGAAAGAAGAACATTTCCAAATAAACAGTCTAAACTCACAATTAAAGACACTAGAAAAAGAAGAACAAATGAAACCCAAAGTTAGTAGGAGGGACATA